AGCTAGGAATCTGATCCCAACCTCAATATCTATCTTCATTTTTGTAAAATATTTGTAGATTCTTTTAAAAAATAAAATAGCATGAACAGAACTAGCTCACTTTTGTATTGCCTGCGCTGAACGCAAGACATGACTTCACCCAACACACATTTATACATGTATTATGCAGAGGCTTGACAATGCTATTGGTTGAAACATCTTTAGAATCTTTCAGCGCATGGTGGTCCCTTGTATAAACACACCGTTATGGAACTTTTGGTTGTAAAAAGCTCACCACACTGAAAGGTAGAAAAGTCGTTCTTTTATACCATCTCTCTGTGGTATCTGTGTCAGCATTTGCTCATATTTCTCTATAAACTACAGAAGGTTTCAAAGAACAGCTGTGCCTTTGAAACTCAGCAGTATCGGCAGCAATGTAATCTTTGGCTAAATAAAGGCTACAAAAGAAAACGCATGCTCTTGTGAAATGGAATGATGCATGAAAATTCAAGGGTCTCAGGTGCCCAGTATGTCCATCTCATTTGGACAGAAAAATGAGGCAGTATCCTAGACCTGCAGACTTGTAGAAGTGCAAACTTCATGAAAAGCACTACACAGTTCCAGCTTCTTAGTCTGCCTCCGTCCTGGTTAATATCCTGCACAAACCATGTGCCTCCCTATCCTTTGCAACACATGGCATGTGCCTCAGCTCTATCTGTAGAAGACTCTCCTTTTTTGCCTTGCACGTGGCAACACCTACTCATTGCAGATTTGCTTGCCACAGTAAATTTGCCATTTTGCACACCATTAGTTTCTGATTTGGGGCTGAGTGGTTCTATGGAAAATGGCTGTGAATGAACAAGGTAGCCTTTTATCCACAGGCTGGTGATGGTGACAAAGAAATATGGATATCCCCACCAAGTCAGTTGTATACTTGGTGCCTGCTAGGACTGAACTTTCCAGCTCAGATGTTAATCATCACTGGATTTTGTCCTACTCAGAAGTGATACTGTACAGCAGGGTGGCAAAACATGTCCCATCAAAAAGCACATCGTAATCTGTGGTATTGGTGGGCAATGCTAAAATGTGAATCTACTCAGAAGTAAGAATAGCCTCTGTGTATGCATGTGTCCTGAAACTGAGGCTCCAATACTTCGGCCATCTCATGAGAAAAGAAGACTCCCTGGAAAAGACCCTGATGTTAGGAAAGTGTGAGGGCAAGAGGAGAAGGGGACGACAGAGGATGAGATAGTTGGACAATGTCATTGAAGCGACCAACATGAATTTGGCCCAGCTCCGGGAGGCAGTAGGAGGGCCTGGCGTGCTCTGATCCATGGGGTCACGAAGAGTCGGACACGACTAAACGACTAAACAACAACATGCATGTGTGCACGTGCGCACACACATCCTCAACGTGTTAGGCCCTGTTAGGCTGCTCCCTCCCTCAAATTTCTTTTTAAAAAGGATGTATGGACTCTGATTTGAAGTCAATTCATATTTCTTGAAGTTTAGGGGCACTAATTATATTTCAAACCAAGCGCATACTTTCCATACACCTTGTTTTAAAAGGGAAAGGTGTCTCAATTCACTGCTGTTTTTGCTGCCATGCTGCTGAATTTCAGTGACAGAGTAACTTCAAAGGAAAACCCAGCATTCCTGCCCCCCTCAGCTGCCACACTGCCAGATACTGTATGTGTGGGCTATCATCTAGGCCCCCCTTAAGAATCATTGGTTGCTTGCTTCTGGTCAATCCAACCATAACTGAAAAGGGTTGAATTTCTGCAGTGGGCTTTCAAATAGCATCACAAATACCAAGTCTGTATGTGGCTACTCATACAGCATGAGCAATGTGCAGGGATGGTGATTCAAGTTGTGAGACTTTCTGTCAAGTCAGACTTAAGTTGCACTGGTGATTCAACTCACAACTCAGAACCCCCTCCCTTTTCTCTGATAAACAAAAACTTGTTTTTAACAGGGACTCAAACTTGGGGCTTGGGACTTGGTGCCAAAAACTCAGACTTGGACTCAGAGACTTGCCAACATCGCTGGTAGTGTGTCTGTTTACAAGTAGCTTGCAACAAATGTATAGACAGAATTCAACATTCGTTTACACGGTTAAGGATACACACATGGAACCTTGTCAATATTGGTACTGAAGTATAAAAAACTGCAACAAAAAGGACTTGTTTTCTATTAAGGTTTTTGAGTTGTTGTTTCTCATACATTTGTGCTTTGAGTTGCCCTATTGTTCTGTGACACTATATTGTTATGAACTCCCTATATCACAAAAGGTTTACTATGTATACAAAAAATATTTGCAAAAACCAGTGGTGCCCCGCAAGACGGGCGCTCCATTTGACAACGAAATCGCATCACAACGAACTTTTGCGATCACAAAACGATGTTCCCTATGGGGAAATTTCGCTTTGCAATGATCAGTTCCCTGCTTCAGGAACCAATCATCGCAAAGCGATTTTTTAACAGCTGATTGGCGGTTTCAAAATGGCCACCGGGTAAACAAAATGGCCGCCCGCTGTGTTTTCACACGGATTCCTCGCTGCACAGCCAGCGAAAATGGCCGTGCTATGGAGGATCTCCGCTCGACGGTGAGTTTGAAGCCCCTAAGAACGCATTAATCTAGTCTTAATGAGTTTCTATGGGCTTTTTAAAATCACATCACGAAGTTTTCGTTCTACAGTGATTTCACTGGAACGAATTAACGTCATGATGCAAGGCACCACTGTATTATCTTTCAATGAAGCACTTGTGACTCTTCATTACCCAGTGGCGGCAACAATCTCCATGGAGTGGTTTATGTGGTAAAACTGCAAGTTTTGTTCCTGTTAAGACTGAAGAGAAAAGGCCGGCCAAAGAAACAGCTTGGATATAAAAACATATTTTTCCATTACCCTAGGAGGGAAGACTTTCACTCAACAGGCTCCTGTTTGAAAGCTGTTGGTAAAGAAGATACCTGCTGGGAACGTTGGAGGGTCTGTCACCTTAAACCGGTTATTTAAAAATACAAAATAATATAAAATACAAATTTAAAAAAATAAAAGAAAGTAGCTCTATGAAAGTTGCAGCCCTGAAGGTAAAAAAGAAGCCTTGACTAAAAGAGGAATAATGCTATAGCATGAAAAAACAGCCAGTTCCTTCTAAGTAGGCGGTAGAAATGTCTTTGTATGATTAGTTACTGCTGACTGTTCTGCAGTGTATGCAGAACTTTCAGTTCGTCACCTCATATCAATTGAAGTAAGGGATAGAATTCGGAGCTTAGAAAAGAAATGTTTGTTTGGATGTCAACTCCCAGATGCCCTGTGATCATCCCGGTTGGCTTGTTGTGTTGGCAGAGATGGTTTGGAAATGGTAGCTGAGCAATTCTTGGAGGGGTAATTCTGTTAGTCTACAGCAGAAAGAAACAAGGAAGAGTCCAAGGCCATCTTAAAGGCTAACTTTTAGCTTTTGTGGACTAGAATCTTGGAGGACTGAGCAATTTAGGTTAAAGAAGCATCAAACAAGTGATGGGCATCCATGTGTGAAGCCCTTCATTTTTAAACATGTTCTTTTCATGTCTCATCAAGTTGCACATCAGATAACTTAAGAAATGATTTTACCATCGTCAGCCCCCAATGAGTTTACATGGTTGAGCAGAGATATGAACTCGGGTCTCGTTAAGTCCTAGTCTGCCACTATCCGCTATACTATAGCACCCTGGCACCAATTTTTTAAACATACAGAGTTCTGCTTCTAACAAGAAGTTGATGCTTAAAGGTTGAAAATAAAAAGGGCAGCAAACTGAAATCTCAGGCATCTTAAAAAAGATGGCAGGGTTCCCATGGTCACTGTGCCCTGCACTTAGAATCACAGAACAGAATAAGAGAGTGTTTATTCCCTCGGTCTCTTTCTTTCCCGTACACATATCAAACTAAGAAATTAGCACTAAAACCCAGCAAGAATTTTATGGCCTCTAGAAGCATGTAAGACACAGCAAAGAGAGAACCTTCACCAACATCCTAGGAAGGGATCCTATGGATCATCAAGTCCAACCCATCAAGAAAACACAGTGGAGTATCAGACTCCAGACCTCTGACTCCACAGCTAACGATGCTATCCTGAAGAAATAATTATGGGTAGCAATAACTACATACGAAAATGCAGACAACCTAGCACCTGTCATATGTGTTGGACTACAACATCCATCATCCCAGCTACAAAACTCATGGTTCTGGCAGCAAGGGATGATGGGGACAGTGGTTCGACAAGTCTAGGCTGCAAAGGCTGCCCAGTCAGAGCTTTCTCACCTGATGTAACCTGCTGGAGTCTGCACTTCATGATGGACCTGTCTATGCAAAGCAGGTATAGCTCAGATTCACAAGGCTCCCCCCTTAGTGATGTAGCATGGCCAGGTCTTGCCCAACCGACGCCTTAGGACTTTCTCAATAGCCAGGACATCATCCGCTGCATCTCTCCAGCCTCCTTTTTCCCTCTGACCTTAACTGCAATCCTCACAATGGGTGGCAGAGAAATGGATTATACTAGGAACAACAGATTGCCGCCGGCTCTCCTTGTTTTAATGCAAACCAGTCTTGAAGTGGCAATGATGATCCTTTAACTTTACAAAAGATCTCTTCCTCATTTGTTCATACAGACGGATCGAGATACAGTACCTGGATTTCTGGGGCGTGATATCTATGAGTCGTCAAGATGGGCACCTGAAGTTCACATTGATCCCTACCTTGCTAACCGCGACCCATGCATGCACGTGGCTCCTGCTGTATACTGTATAAGGCTCGGAAGGAAGAGGGGCCACAGCAGACATGCCCGAACAGCCAAGCCAAGCGAGAGCACGATTGAAGGAATTAGCATTAATCTGACTTGGAAAACTACTAGATCCACCTCCCCCAGGGGGAGCGGGATCTCCTGCCTGGTACAACTCCCCCCCCCCTCCGCGTGTGTTAAGTCTCTTCCTCTTGACCCCGCCTCATCACCACATGCGAGCGCGGTTCGGGCTTGCCCACCGGCCGTGCGTGCCTGGATCTTGCTTGTCGCTCACCCCTGCTTGCAGCCGCTTCTGGCAAAAGGAGGGGAGGGGGGGCGCTAGCTTTGCAGCTTCTGGGATTGCAGAGCGACAGGCGCGCGTGCGAGGCGGCCCGGCGTGCAACGCCAGAGAGAGAGAGACGCGCGCGCACGGACGTCGGGATCCAGCCCGTCTGCCGCTCAGTGTGCGTGCGTGCATGTGAGTAAGTGAGCCAAGGGTTGGCGGCAACTCGGGCTTTGCACGGTCCCGCGCGCGCAGGGTGAACTTTCTTCGCTCTCCTTGTAAACGGCAAGATCGGGTTTCTTGTTTGGATTGGCGCGGCGCAGTTGTTGCTGCTTTTCCCAGAAAAAATAAAATAAAATAAACCACTTTCAACCCTCTCCTGTCCCGGAGAGAACAGGATCTGGCTAAGAGCTGGAAAGACAAAATGGGCCTTTAAAGAGTTTGGCGCGACTTGCAGGGTGCGAGGCGAAGAGAGCCGTTGCAAGCTAAATTACCTGGGAGTCCGCCGGAGGGACTTGGATGTGAGGATGGAAAAGAAAAACATGGATCATTACCTACGCCGGTTGAAACAGGAGTTGGTAAGAAATGCCCGGAGAAAGAAGGGAAGGTGCAAGCGGCGCTGGGGTGGTGGTGAGATGTTAGTGGTTCTGCTCAAAATGTTGCAAACTTCGCACACGCTCATCACCGACTTTAATTCTTTTCGGTTTGCAGCTTCCCAACCGGGACGAAACAATTACTGTTGCTTTCCCCGCTTTCCCTCCGTTTCTCTTTCCTGCTCTGCTTATTTCCCCGCCCGGGCTTCATTGCAAGTCTTCCCGTGGCTTTCCTTTTCCCGTTCTTGCAAGCCCTGGGACCCTTTTCGAAGGCGAGGAAGTCAAGACTCCTTGGCCATGCCCCCTTCCTTCCCTTTTCACCTGCCTCCTGCTCTGTCTGCGCCCTTCCAGGCTCGATTTACGCATCTTAGATTGTCTTTCGAGCATGGAAGGTAAATCTAGTTGACGCGGATCGGTGCTTCTGCAATCCCTGGATGGTGCGCAGTGTGCACGCGTATACTGTACCTTTCCTGCTAGCATATCCTGAGAGTGAATCGCTTTGCCTTCATGGCTAGGGAACGGCTAGAGCCATCGTCCTACCCACCCGGCTCGCCTTGGCTATTCCTGTAAAGGAATTGCCTTCTGTTTGTCTGAGTGTGACAGGCAAGGTGAACTTTGTAATCAGTTCCGACAGAGTCGGTCAAGTGGCTACCTCCGATTGTAAGTGGCGTCCCATCACAACCTGTTACTGTCTTCCTTCTACAGTACTTATTCCTGCATGCTGCAGATTTAGTTGAGACCGGATCAAGCAAATACTGTACACTTCCCCATTTTCCTCCTAATCTAACTTTTTTTTTCTTTCCTGGGTTCCATCAGGAAGCTTTCCAGTCATCCCTTCCCCAGATCCCAGCTGTCTTCTCCTCTGGTAGCCCTGGTCTGAATCCTTTCTCTCGTCCTCACCCCCCCTCCCCCAGCACAGATGTGGCTGCCTAATCTCTGGAAGCATTCAGCTTGCCAGCCACTTCATTTAATTATAGGAGTGACTGTAAATCTTCTGCAGGCAAGTCTGAGAGCGTTGCATATTGCAAGTGGATGATGCCCCCTCGTAAGCTTCCTGCGTTTTTGTTGCTTTCGTCTGGGAGCGTTACATATTGCAAGTGGATGATGCCCCCTTAGTTGTCTCTCGTAAGCTTCCTGCGTTTTTGTTGCTTTGCATTGTGCACTTTTGTTGTCAACCCATTTGAGCCGCTTCATTCTCATGCAGAATAAGCCCAGTTCTGGGAGAAACCCAACAGTCCTTGTTCAGCTGACTGCAAGGAAGGCTGTGCCACACTTGCTTCTCTAAACCGGACCCGCATGTACAGTATTTGAAAAGCTCCATTTCTGACTTGCCACCTGAGATGGCCATTATGATGACTGACTTTATTTATGAATATGACTATTCCCACTTTGTTAATTAAAACTATAGAGGTTGCATGGCAAAGTCCATATGAACCTAAATCTCCGATGCTTAGCACTGGACTGTATTGCCACTTCATAGCCAGATGCCCCTACTTCTCACTCGGAAGTATTTCCAATTGGATTATCCACTTTTGGATTGAGGGAAAAGAAGAAACTGGAGTCCAGGTAAAATTCTTCCCAAAGGGGATGAGTAAGGGAGGCCACATTCGCACTGGCAGAGTAGCTTGCTATTTGGATCACTTTTTGTGTTGCTTGATTTATGGCATCCACATGTGTTTTGTCTTAGAGCGATCTATCCCACCCCCTTTTAGAGCTGTCTTTAGAGCTACTTTTTGGTCCAGCAGTAGTTCTACAGGTTTATTTGGTAGAATTTGGAGTTCTAATTTGCCTATTCTGTAGTCCACAGCAAAATAGAGCTAGGGGCAGTGTTACCCGAGGTGACAACTCTGTGATATGTTTGGGGGGTTGTGGCATTGGAAGGGAAGATGAAGAAACCCCCTCTTCTATTTTCATCTACATTTTCCTATTGATGCAGCGCTGTTCTAGATAAAGAAGCTACATTGGTGGTATTACATCCACCGTGCTAGGCAGATGCATTGCTGTTTTTCTATGGCACTTTAAAAAAACGAAAGTCAGTCAGTGTGATCTGCTTAATGACAGCTGAGGGAAAAGGTGGGGAAGAGGGCAGGAAGGGGAATGCCATTAATTGAAAGGGGGGACCAATTGAGGCCGTCCAAATAGTGTACCTGTCTGGACTCTTCTCACACGAGAAAAAAATATCAATCAATGTGAAGAGAAGGCTCACTCAATTAGAGATAGAGATAACCGAATATAAGAATGTTTTAAGAACAAATCAGACCACTCCAGTTTCCCCCAGTTGGGATGTGCTCTGAATATACGAAAGGGTTTACTGTCCATGCTGTGTTGTCATAATCCATTGTTATGTTTTGCAAGTGGATTCTGAGTTCTCCCCAATCACTCCTCTTCCCCTGCCTAGTCTTGTCACTTCTAGTCTTGTCACTGCCTGCTCGGTTTATATCCATTCAGTCAGATTTATGGTGTGGGAGAGAGGCCAGTCAGCTGGCATTTTTTCAACCCCGATTTTCCCCTTAAGGACTCAGTCACGTTACTCTGCAGAGGCCCTCTGAATGTTTTAATTTGATATGCAGTTATAATGTTATTTCTATAGCTCTTCTAAGGCGCACTCTACAGTATTTTGCAATACCCACTTTTCTTTTACAGCAGCCTTGTGAGGTGGATCAACCCCTAGCTTTTTATCATGCTTAGAAATTACCCTGTCTGCTTTTCAGGCTGGAAGTTAAGCTTGCATAATAGCTGATTGTTGTCATAATGGCTGGTACAGTGGAAAGAGCAGCAGGCAGAGAGGGGCCTGGCAGGTAGAGACAGAGTAAAAGTGGGCATTCACATATGCACGTGAGTGTGAACACACACACAGGCAGGCATTCACTCAAACATTGCCCCCCCTTCATTCACCAGCCCAAAAATGCATCTTGCCCCCAAACTGTACATGTTCCTGCCTCTTCTTGCTTTCTTCTATACTTGCTTTCCAAGCTGGGCGCTCTTGATTCACTCAGTCTTCTTTTTCATTCTCTCTCCTGTTCTTTCCTAAACCCACACATTCACTCAGAGGTGGGGTCCTGACCCTCTGCCAGGGAGGCAGGCATGAGTGGGCAGGTTGGACATAATCTGGGACAGGATTCTTTGGAGTACCATACTATCGAACATGTTCTGCCTCATTCCTACAGGGTTGGGCCTAGTTAATCCTTGCGTGGAAGTCTACTAGAAAATACCAACTGCATTTCTAGGTAGTGCTAAGAAAGACTCCTCACTGAATCCGTGGAGGGCTGCTGCCAGTCAGAGTGGGCAATATAGGGTTAGGGGGAGCAATCAGCTGACTCAGCAAAAGGCAGTGTCCCGTGTTCCCCCGGCCCATTCTTTGTAGTGAACCAGCCTCCACTGAGTTTGTACTTCCACAGTCCGGGTGTAGTACCTCAGTTACTGAATTGCAGTGTCTTAGAAAAATCCTAGTTCTTTCTTCTTCTCTCTCAGAAAGTGAATGTCCCTTTGGGCAGAGGCAGATAAGTGTGATATCAGCACCACACATCAACATCCTACCCTTCAGACACGAGTGTGGTTTGTTGTAGCATGCTCAGACTTGCCTACCGGCAGATGCTTCCTTCTGGTGCCCTAGTTTTTGTTCTAATGGATTAGTGATGAAGAACAGTAGAAGGTTTTAAATAAAGCATTTGAATTGTTCTGGAAGCAACTCAGAAGGATAAAGAGAGAAAATAACTGACAGAGTAGTTTGGAAAGTGCATCTCACTTGTAAATAAATAATAGTGACTGTAGTTTTTAAAAAGGTCACACAAGAGTCAGCATGCCAGGAGGAATTTTACAATACAAAAGGGCAGGGTGGATTTGATTTAAATAAAATTGTGATTTCAATCAATTTTATTTTTTTAATTATTGATTTTTATCCACCCTGCAAAGGGTTTTTTTAAACACCCAGAAGATGTCTGCCATCACAGAATGAAATCCAAGCAGGGCTGGTTGAAACCAGAATTCCTAGTGTGCTCAGTAGTCTTTAAGACCTTCAGTTGCCAAGGAATAGGTGATAACAGAACCATAAAATTAGTTAAATGCAGCAAGAATATTTGTGTGTCAGTCATAGACCGTGACTACGCTGCTAAGCTGAATTTCTCCTTCAGTTTGAGTCACAGTCTGTTTTACATTTCTATTCAGATTATGTGATTACACAGAGACCAGAGATTGTTTCAGTGCCAATGTGTACACTACCCCCTCAATCTGAAACCGTTTCATCCACGCCATAGCCCATAGTTCCCTTTCCTTTGGTCTCATCCTTTGATCAGTACCTCAAGAACAGGAGGTTGTATTGGTCTGGGAGCTGGATTCCTGCCCTGGGATCAGACCAGAAGGCCAGAAAATGTCATAAGGGGGAAGGCTGTGCCCCAAGACCCATCAGGTGTCTGACATCATCTGGTCCTGATCTTCCATTAATATCTGCTTTCCCCTTTGCACAGAGAATGCCTCTGTTGTCTCTGATCACTGACTGGAGATAAGTGTTTGATCCACTCTTGCCTCTTAGTGGGGAATTCGAGTAGCATGGGGGGAAGTTGCACTGTTATCTCTGATCAGTGATTGGAACTGAGATTTCTGTGTGTCTTGATTACTTTTCAGACCGGGAAAAGGAGAATCCCCCTACTCTGAGAGGGTGGAGCTAGAAGAATTGTGTGTTGTATGCTTAAGGAGACAGAATAGTATGGATTTTTGAAAATGTATGAACTTTGATTGGAATCTTAGAACTGCTCATATTTTAATTCATCTTAATTTTCATATTTCTTTAATTATTTTGGTCATGGCATGTAACAAAACCATAACTAATGCAACCCCCCCTAAAAACAAAATAATAATCATGTGTTGTCAAGTCAGTCCTGACATACAATGACCATTTCCAGAGTTTTCCAGGCAGAGAGTACTCAGAAATGGTTTTCCCTTCCATTCTTCTGGGAATGCGCTGAGACCTCTGCAGCTTGCCCAAGGCC